AAAGCTTTAATTATTTGCTTTAATTATATTTTTAGAAACATTTCAAAGGATTATTACCTTCTTTTTCATACCTGCCCATTTCCTGGTACTAAACTCAAAATAGTATATGATCCTGTTGGTTGCATAACATATTGAGTCATAATTTCTGCCTGTCGCCCTTGGGAATAGCCTGTGTTTGTGGCAGCTCCTATTTCATTGTGTCGCACTCTTCTACAACTGCCATTTGGATACTTCTCAGTTCTTTGAAACTGATAATCTGCCTTTCTCAAGGTGTGCTTTATTGAGTTTTCTCTAAGATTATTAAGTGCTCCCAAGTAAAAAAAATACTAGATGTAAAAACCTAGCTTATTAAGTAACTGTGAAACTAGCATGTGCTTTGAGATGACTCATATTTTCCTAAAAAAAATTATACTAAGAAAAACATCTTTCAACTGTAATCGAAAAATAAACTTAAAAAAAAAGGACAGTCTTAGAGAGAAAAATTAGGATTATATAGAACTTTTGGTTATAACATTGTAAATGGTTGGAATTTACTCATTGAATACTAATTAAGTTGTTCTATTAAATAATTCTTTAGTGGGAAAAATTTATATAATGCTTTATATAATGCTAATTTATGTTAATTAATATTTGAAAGTACCAAGTAGTTTTCCTATTTAATGATTTGTGTGCCAATTTGCTATTTTCCTTGTTCTTTCTTTTTTAAGGATCTCAAGGATCTCGCATTTCTTGTCATTTGTGACAGATATATGTCATATAAGTTGTAATGTGAACTTTTATCTCCTTGAGAAAACCTCTTAAGTTCTTAACTATCAAATTTAAAATAATTTTTATTACTTTCAAAAAGTATAAGCATATAGGGAGAAAACTGTTATATTCTCTAACTTGAGAATTAAGAAAACTTGACCATGAGAAGATTCATTTCAGTCGTCCCCCTGCCCCCTCACCTCCAGGTCAGCACATTTGCATTTGTTTAGTCCTCATTTCTTGCCACTACATTATGTAAACCCCACATTCCACATCATGTGAAACCTGGAACCTGTCTGTGGAACATTCCCCTCCCCCATCATTTTATTTTATCAACTTAATGTTGGTTTATGGTACCTTACAATGAAGGGAAGGGCATATTCATTAACCAATTTTATTTGTGTTTTATGTGCAGTAAATTTTTTAATGAAATTTTATACTTCTAAAAAATGATGCTTTTTAATTTTGTGTTGGCTAAGTGTGATTTTTAAGTATAGTATTTATTTGAATCTATTAACTAATAAAAATGTAGAGCAGAGCCTTGTCAACTCTTTTTGAGGTCGTTCCTTTTGTGTTGCCATAGGAAGAACATAGATGACCAGGAATTGTAACCTTTCTGTGTTCTTTCTGTTATGCTTCAGGGCTTATGAAGTTATGGCTTATCAACTTTTTAAAGTTATAGCCAATTTATTCCTTTGACCCTTCTATTTAGTCAACATTTTCAGTACACAATTTGATGTGAAGAAAAGTTCTTCTTTCCATCCATATCACATCAATTTGTTCCTATATTTAGGGAAAAATATAAGGAACATGAGACAATACCTGTTTATGATGGATGGAAATGTTTAGAAATGAACTCAGTACATATGTTTCAGGCCTGGGCTTGATTTCGGAGGCCCTTTAAAAATCACTCTTTTTCTTGCTCTTTCTGAAGAGTCAGCTTGTAGTGGACATTTGAGTGCACTTACCACTCACTGTCGACCAGCGTTTTCACACAGCAGGCAGAGCGTACCCCACTCTTTTCTCCAGCATAAGAACTCTTTGCAGTCATCTGTAGCTCGATAGGGCTGCATATATTCATTTCTTTAAAGTATTAAGTGAAAGAAGTTAATAATAGAAGAGTAGGGAGAACACCAGGTTTCAGTGAAAAATCTTGAGGTTTGTCGCAGAGTGGTCAGAGGATGTCATTGACCAGCACTGGTATGATGTTACTACTACTACTACTGTCTGTCTCAGAATGGGGAGTATGGTGGTGAGTGCTGATACAAAGTGTGGACAGAGTGCCATGGAAGCATGAAGGAAGGGACTTTTAGGAGCAGTCCCTGGAAAGACAATTAGCGGCTAGCTGGGCATTCCAGGCAAAGGACAGCTTGCAACAGGAATGGGTGGAAATGACTTCCGGAGGTGCTTTATGCTGAACACAGCAGTTGGGTAAGGTTGGAGAAGAGGTGGGGCAGGTGCCTCCTGTGCTGTGCTAAGTTTTCTCCACGTTTATCCTGAATGTGGAGTAAATAGGGGAATAGCATGACTAGGTTTGCATTTTAGAAAGAGTGTCCTCTAGGAAATAGGGAAGCTGCATTGGGGCAAATTGCAGGTGAAGGAGGTCAGGCAGTGACTTCCGTGGTGAGAAATGAGGGGACCAGGACCCTGGAGAGGGGTGGAAGGACTTGCAGATTTGTGAGCTGTTAGGACTTAGGAAACAATTGGACGTAAGGGTATTGAAAAGGAGGACATCTGGGATGACTCGGGCTATCTGTCTTGGGTAACTTGGTAGATGGAGGTGCTACCAGATGTGAAATAGAATCTAGAAGAAGGATTTTCAAGAAGTTGATTTGAACATGATAAAGCATTTAAGTGGAAATGTCTATCCTACAGGCAGGTAGCCATTAGAGAGGAGTTTGAGTTTGAGGTAGAAATTTGGACATTATTGGTTTTTAAATAGGTGCTAAAAGTTGTGGTGGGAATGGAGACCTCCTGTGCAGAGCTTCTCTTGAGAAGGGCAGAAGGCTGAGAACTAACCAGAGCGGGATGGAAAGGCAGGAAGGATGAGGGAAGGATGGACCCAGCAGGCACCTGAAGAGAGGAGTTAAAGGACGCGTGTCCAGGATGAATGTCTCTGACCTTCAGAGGGAACACGGTTCATAGGGACCTGGTAGTGCCCATTGGTTATGGGACAACATCAGTGTCACTGGTCAGTGGAGCAAGAACTTGGTGAGATGGAGAGGGACGAGAGCTGTGAGGTGGAAGTGAGCGACACACGTTTACTCTGCTCCGTTCAGAAGCTTGTACAGCGGTTCTCAACCTTTCACAGGGGTCGCCTAAGACCATCAGAAAACACATATTTTCGATGGTCTTAGGAACCGAGACACCGCTCCTCTATCCGTCTCCAGGCCCACATGCAGATAGGCCCACATACGAGTACCCGGCGACCCCTGTGAAAGGGTGGTTCGACCCCCAAAGGGGTCGCGACCCACAGGTTGAGAACCGCTGTCTTATAAGAAGATAATCCAAGGCCCTAGCAAGGCCTAGGGGAAGGTTTTGATGGGAGAGACTTGAGATTGGGGAGGTGGTTGATTAAAGGAGTCTGGAAATAGGAGAATTTCTATAGCTGGGTTCCTAAAAAGGAAGAAGGCTTGAGAGTTGGGTAACAAAGTAATTCCATTTTACTTGTACTGACTGGAGATTACCTTGGGATCCACTCAGATTAACCTGCCATTATATTCTTTTGTTGATTTTTCTTTCTTCCTTTTTGTCACATAAAATTAACTAGATTTAATTTTTTTATTATTAAACTCATTTTGACTGTAAACACTGACATAACTTTCTGTTTATTCTTTCACCAAGCCTGCTGTAAAAAGCACATTGGGTGGAGCACCTCTGACTCTGACCTGTCCTTTCAAGCCCCACCTCCCCCAAAATGTTTAGACAGGTACAAAGAGTGAAATATGCTCTGTTCCAGCGCCCGTCCATCCTTGCCTCAGGTGGCAGCACCTAAATGTACTCCATCCCAGCCCTTTCAGACCTTGCTCTTAGAATAAATCTGTAAATCTCTTCTTCATATGAAAGTCAGTGTTCTTCAGCAAATTTGTATATTTTCATAGGGGTCAAGGAATGAACCTTTCTGCAGAATTTCACATATTAGAATACTGGTGAAAGAGAGATTTTTAGGGAAGGCACCATTTTGTTTTATCTGTTTTATCTATTTTTCGTTTTTGTTTAATTTATTTTGAAAATTGAGATATAACTGACATATAACATTGTATACGTTTAAGGTGTACAACGTTGATTTGATATATTTATAAATTGCAATATGGCTATCACCATAGCATTAGCTAACACCTCTATTGCATCACACAGTTCTTTTTTATGGCGAGAACAATTAAGAGATGGTACCTTTTTAATATCCGCATTCTATTTATGTATTAAGGTTGGCCAGCCTAGCATTGTCCTAAATAAAATTAATAGCATTGTCCTAAATTTAATTAGTAAATTAAATTAAAGGATTCTACTTCAGAGAATAATAGTCAGTGTTTAAACCAGTTATAAAAATGAAATCTGTATATTTTAATATACAAAAGCCTCATTAAAGTAACATTCTGCTTCTGGACTCAGGAAAGTCTGGTTTTGCGTTCTGTGACTGGCTCACCTTTTCCCAGTCATGCTTTTGGATAGATTCTCTGAGCCTTCTCAGAGCCTCTTCCATCTGCAGTGTGGTATTGGATAGAGCCTGATAGTTTCCTAGCGACTGTTCATTGTTGTACTCACTAACTGACAGAGCCAGGGCGTTGATGCTTCAGCAGCCACTTGGGCAGCTTCTGTCTTGTTCCAGTGGATGTGTTACTTCTTCGAATGAGACTATCATTCTAAGCACCAACTAACCCGTCAGGGATCATGAATTAGGTAATTTCAGCTTGAAATTTGTCTGAACCAACGTCATAAAACACGTTAGGCTCTAGGGTTATGAAGTCAGAACTGTGATTCTGTTAATTCAACAAAAAGTATTTATGAAAGTGTCTCATTAATATGGGAAGATTTAAAGGTATTATTGCACATTTATGTGATGGAACACTACACAGTCATTCCATGTTTTTGGAAAAAAAAACAATGAAGGAAATGCTTATTTTATTAAAGACAAAAGGGATACAAAAGTCTGTATATAACGTCTCATTTAAAAATATATTCACAGGAAAAATCTGAAGTAAATTACACAACAAGTTCACTTACTGGAGAAATGTGATATCTTTCTATTTCAGCTAATCTCCCAGTGCCAACGATTGCGGCCCTAGATGGACTCGCTCTGGGTGGTGGCCTGGAACTGGCGCTAGCCTGTGATATCAGAGTAGCAGGTAAGAATTAATCCTATTAAACACATAGCATTTTAAACATGAGGTTTGTTCTTACTCTTCAGAAATGCCAAATATTTAATTTTTTTCCTGTTGTTGAGAACATTTAGAAAAAGTCACCTGTTGGGCTCCATGAAGTATTTACAGTTCCTGGCTAAGGAAACAGTATTTTATGGCCTCTTGTTCAGTCTTAGCAGTCGGAGAGGAGAGCAGGATTGGACCAGGCAGAGCTGAATGTGAGTCTTAGGTCCTGCCCATTTCAGACCAGGTTCTTCCTCTACAATGGGGGAAATGATGGTTGCTGTTGTGAAGATTAAATGAGTTAATCTATGGCACGCGTCTAGTCCAAACACCTAATTATTTTAGCTATAGTAATAATAACTTAATCTCCCTGAGGTTCACTTTCTTCCTGGATGGCTTCCTGTGGATTAGAGAAGGTGATTATGAAAACAATTAGTGCTCAGGGCACGCTGAGTGTTGACTGGTGCCCAGTGCTATTCTGAGCCCCTTATGTGTATTAGCTCACTTTATCTCTAAAGCCTTAGGAGACGGGGTCTTACGGGGACTTGGAGGGCTTGGGGAAGCCAAGGCAGAGAGAGGTGAAGTAGCAGACCCAGGTCAGGGACAGAGCTGGGATCTGAACCCGGGCAGCCTGCGTCAGGGCCCACTGTCCTGTTTCCCTGCCGGGGCCCTGCATTCTGCCGCCTGCTGCCCTCCGTCTTGGCCTGTGTGCGGTCACAGTGCTGTCTGTGTCCTTGCTCCCTCACTTTGGTGACACCAAGGGGCACCAGGACGCCCGAGGACTGGATGGAGCAGGTAGCTCTTCCTTGGTTCCTACTCTCACTTCTGATGGAGCTGCCTCCTGTTAAAACTAGAGTCCATAGAATTGGGTTTTTAATAATTTTATGGTGATTTTCTTGGGATTTGTAGTTTTTAGCCCATGTGTACTTTTTCTTCTTTCCACTTTATTTCGGATTTCTATTTTGTTGTCTGAAATCATTGGGTTTTAAATTGAAACGCTAAGGTACGTGTAATCCGTTTCTGAAAGAATGCAGCTTCTGGGAATTAGGATATGGGAAGTAGTCTAAGTACTTTTGGATATGCAAATAAAGAGATAATTAAGATGTTTTAAAGTAGCCCTAAAACAGACACGAAAAAAGGAGCCCTGTCCAGCTGTCAGAACAGTAAAACCATTTATCAAAAATACCTAGAGATTTTGCCTGAAAAGTTCCTATCTGATATGATACAAGAAGCTGTTTGATGTGGAGGACTGTTTAGGCAGCTAAAGAATTCATACTTGTCAGACACAGACATTATTCTCATCCTGAATAACTAATGGGATCTAAGCCTTCAAACATGACTTGGCAGTATCAGGTCAAATTATGTTCTTACCACCCTGCTCTTTCTGCACCAACAATTACTTCACTGCCAAGCAATCTTTTACAGAAAACATGTAAATCTCTTAATATAGATATAATTTTGAGTGTTACTTATTTTCATAACCAAATGCCTTCTGAAGTGATTTTTAAAGAGGTTTGTGACACAGATTTAGTTAATAAACAGAGTATAGTTGTCCCCTCCCATTATCCAATGGGTAAACATTTCAAGACCCCCTGTGGATGCCTGAAACTTCGGATAATACCGAACCCTATTTATACTATGTTGTTTCTCTATATACACGCCTTTTTACTTAAAAGAAGCACTAGACGGCTTCTCTCTGGCATATCCAAATTGCAAACATTACTTCTCTTGTGCTTTGGGGCTATTGTTAAGTAAAATAAGGGTGACTTGAACACAAGCACAGAGATACTGCAACAGTCTATCTGGTAACCAAGATGGCTACTAAGAGACTAAGAGTTTCTACAGCATAGAAATGCTAGACAAAGGGAAGATTCGCTTCCGGGTTAGGATGGAGCAGGGCAGGGATTTCATCCCGCTACTCAGAAAAGCATGCAATTTAAAACTTGTGAATTGTTTATTTCTGCAATTTTCCATTTAATATTTTTGGACGTTTGTCCTTGGGTAACTGAATCCACAGATGGTGAAATTGTGGGTAAGCCTGGCACTACTGTATTTATAGCTTATTTTACTGACTTTTTAAGTCACCATATTTGAATTTGATGATGTGGATATTTAATTTTCTTTCTTCCTTTTTAGCTGCTTCTGCAAAAATGGGCCTGGTTGAAACAAAGTTGGCAATTATTCCTGGTGGAGGTATGAATTGTTCACACTCATCTTGATTTGTTCTTAAAAACAGGGCATAAGGCAAAAGGTGTTAATTGAAAAGGCAACATTTTGGGTAAAAAGACTATGCCATATTGTTTGCTTCTGTAGTAAGGTTCTTATTCAAAATGCTGTCTTTTAACTTATGTAGGTATGAAGACGGCAGGTATGCTAGCTGTTGCTCTCTTTTTGTTTTTTTTCCATATGATTTCTGAATTTTTAAATTATTGTACCAGTTATATTATTCTTGAAGGATAACGGCACTATTCTGAAACTTTTATGTGGGTATGTATTGTAAATGTGGGTGCCCTCAGAGAGCGTTACACGCATAGGCACACATGGGAGGAGGGCTGCCTGGGCTTTGAGCCAGCTGTCCTGTTTCTTTGTATAACAGGACAAAGCCTGGGATTAGTGGGCAGCCTGGATTGGGAGCTGAGGAGGTGTTACTTATTCTCTCACTACAAAAATGATAGGTGAGTTGCTTCATTTGAAAGACTCATTTAAGGAAGCATTTTCCAGCATTGATAATGAAATCTTGCATCACCCAATAAATCTGAAATGTTTCTTCTTTTGTCTGATGCAGAGAATGTGGAGATACTCACATTTTGTGAAGGTGTTCACTCGAAAAGTAGATGTCATTTGAGGATGTGCACATTGATAACTTGTTAGTATATGAATGAAATAACAGTAACAATGTAGAAAATTAAAGGCAGTGTTGAACACTTTAGGCATGTTTGTACCTGAATAGGTTAAAATTGTATATTTAACCTTATCATTATAAGAGTATCCTGATGAGGTGTATAGGTAGAAATGAAAACATAATTCAGTGAAATTGAAGACTGTCCTGATCAGTATGTTAAGATTCAACTAAGTTTTCTACCTTGGTAATCCATGAAAATTCTTTCAGGTGAAAACATTTAATATCTACCTGTTCTATGATGCCAACCATTTTCACAGTGACTAAAACATTAAAAGAAGGATTTATAAGAAAATGTATCCAAGCCGGCCGAGTGGCTCAGTTGGTTAAGAGCTCACTCAAGAAAATGTATCCAATTGAAAAGAATTATCAGATCACTAATATGTGAAATATAAACAAGGTTTAGAAAATGGTTAATACGATGTTTCAGAAATTCTTTTAAGAAGTCAGCATTTATTAGTAATTAGGATATAACTAATCCTAGAAAGATAGTGACGGTAGTTGAATGGTGGCTCCCCAAAAATATGTCCACCTAGAACCTGTGAATGTGACCTTACTTGGAAAAGGGTCTTTGCAGATGTAATAAAGCTAAGGATCTTCAGATGAGATCATCCTGGATTATATGAATGAACCTTAAATCCAGTGACAAGTGTCCTGGATAAGAAGAGAAGACTCAGACAGAAGAGGAGAAACAGAGAGGAGAAGGCCATGTGAAGACAGAGATTGGGGAGATGCATTTACAATCAAGGAAGACGAAGGATTGCTGGTGGCCAGCAGAAGCAGGAGATCCTCCCCAGGAGCCTGCAGAAGGAACCAGCCCTGCCAACACCCTGATTTTGGATGTCTGGCCTCCAGAAGTATGAGAATTAAATTTCTGTTGTTATAAGCCACCAAGTTTGTGGTAATTTGTTACAGCCGCCCTAGGAAACCAATACAGTGGTTTTTTAATGCTTAAGTCAATTTTTCGACAGGGACTTAATTTGTGGCAATGATAGTGGGTGGGAGGAAGATGAATTTGAAAATTTGGATATTTACCATGTCCTGAATGTGAAATGTTTTATATTAAAACCACAAGAAGGTGTAATAGAACAGTTGTATGAGAATGGTGTTGGGTTTGATTAGATGAAAAAAGTTTAAAGGATTACCGTGTTTTGCTGTGTATAATGCGCTCCCATGTATAATGCACACCCACATTTTTGGCCCAAATTTTCAGGGGAAAAATCTTTGGTTTAATTTTCCACGGGATTTTCCAGTAATTTTGGTAAAAATATCAGCTAGATTGCTAGCTCCCGCCTAAAGAATATGAAGAGAAATGTTGCGCTGTTCACCCTTTGGTAATAAAGTTGGCGTAACCTATCTTATCAAGCCAGAGTCACTTAATCTGTGGACAACAATATATTGCTCTTTGTTTCATTTCGTTGAGTTGTTGGCGAAATTACTTTCGTTGCAAGTTCGTCATAAGTTCATCAAAACCGGTCATCGTATTCCATGGTATTATTTTGCATACGGATATTGTTATTGATTTCTAGAGTTACACTTTTAACTCATAAACATAAGTAAAAGAATTAAAAACATTTATATAGATATGGAATTAATACAACCCATGTATAATGTGCATCCTTGCTTTTCCCTCACAAATTTGGGCAAAAAAGTGTGCACTACACATGGAAAATATGGTATACTATAGAAATGAGGGTGATAGCTTTAGCTTTCTCCATCTTCTTTTATGAGCTATCTGTTTCATATGAGATCTAGAAGTTAGCATATTCTCCCCAATTACTTAAGTTCTTTAAGGTCCTCCTCAATAGCAAATCCATTAATCAGAACCCACTTTTTGTAAATTTTATTGTGTATTTGAATATGTATTCTCAAGAACACAATTATGTTTAAAATTTTTATTAAATAAATTTGTCATAAAATTCAGAATGCTTTACTATTAGTTCAAATGAAACTGTACTTCCCTAGTTGGAGTTACTGTGTATTTGATAAACTCAAAATAATTAACCTGATGCTTCTGGTTGTCATAGTAGTATTGCTTCTGTCCTTTGTGATAATAGTTTACTGGGAAACAATTGATCAAACCTAGCATTTAGCTTTCTTTCTTTCTTTCTTTCTTTCTTTCTTTCTTTCTTTCTTTCTTTCTTTCTTTCTTTCTTTCTTTCTTTCTTTCTTTCTCTTTGTTTACTTGAACTTGAGCTGGAATAACAGTATGATTATTTTTAAGTTATATTTTATTTCCATAAAATAAAACAAGTTAATTTAGAAAATGATTGTTTTGAAGAGATAGTAATATTCCTGGTGAACATGAGTATTAATGGACCATTACTATAATGCAGTTTTTAGAGTAGTATTCTAAATTTTAGTTTTTTGTTTTTTTTTTAAAGATTTTTATCGGGGAATTGGGGGGATGGGAACAGCGCTGGGGAATTGGGGGAAGGGGAACAGACAAGTTGCTGTCTTTTTTGTTCTTAAAAGTCTAGTTGTGGAGGACGTTGCTTCACTGGCCCAAGTTGGCACCATCATTGCACTCCTAAATTTTAGTTTTTATTAAAAAGTAGATTGCTGTAAAATGACTTAAAAGTATATAATTAATGAAAAGGAAGGTATAAAGGAATGTAAAAACATAAAAATCAAATTAACTTCTTTAAATAGTAATATATGAGATGTAATTTAAAAATGGAATGTAATTGACCATCATATACTTAAACCAGTACTTTTATTTGTAGTATATATATATATTTGATTATAGACAAACTTAGAATACAAAATACAATGCTAATGATTTAAAGCTCTAGGCAATTTAAAAATAATTAAAATTGTTACCCTAGGAACTTCCTACAACATTCTAAATTATGTTGGGGATTTTTGTACACTACATAGCCCTACTCTGTTCTCCAATATTTTCACCTTGAAGAAAGCAGCTAAACTTCCTATCTTCTTCCCAGCTGGAGAATGTTCCAGTAGTATAAAATAGAATTCTCTTTTAGAAAGAGCCTCTCAAGCAATAAGTATCCTGTAGCACATTTATAAGAACCAAATAAAACAAGTTCAGAAGATTCAGGTTTTTGTATTTGGCAGAGTAGAAATTTCTTTGTGCACAAAATGGTGCTGGGTTCCCTCCTTCTGCCCTTTGTTTTTTTGCCTTTTCTGCTGGAGGATTTGGGGTTTGTGTCGGGAAACCTATTATAATTAAGATGACTCTTAAGGCTTCTGCTTGGGCATACACCTCTGTGTACAAGATCCATTTTTGCAGTGCTCTCTGGTTTTCTTTTTATTCTCCAGCTTTTTATTTTGGCAATATTCAAACTTTCGGAAATTTGAAAGGCAGTAAAATGAAACTCTTCATACCCTTCATCAAGGTCTTTCCTCCCCAGGCCCCTCTCCCACTCCCCATCTTCCACTCTTGTATGCACGCCCATTTTTTTGCTGAACCATTTCAAAATAACAAGGTGAACCTTTAAATATTTCAGCATGCTTTTCCTAAGAATAAGAATGGACTATTACATAACTATAGATTATTATCACACTGAACAATATTAACTAACATTCAGATTTCCCCTTGTGTCTAAAAATGTTTTTGTAGTTGTTTTTGTTTTACTTTTCCATTGCAGGATCTAGTTAAATGTCACACTTTACATTTGGTTAGATTTTTTTTTTTAAATCTAGACAAGTAATCCATCTCTTTTGTTATTTTTAACTAATTTAAAAAATCCAGGCCAGTTATCTTACTGAGGCTTGCACATTGTGGATTTGACAGAATTATTTCTTCCTGTTTAGGCTTAGGTTAAAAAATTTTGCCAGGAATACTAAATGGGCCATGTTCTATGTTTCATTTTCATTTCATTCCATGGCCCTTCGTTTTAGGTTGTCCCACTTTGGGTGATGATAACTGATCACTTTGCTAAGGTGGTGACTAACTGTGGGTCCACTTTTAGCATTCTCTTCATGGAAACTTTTCAGGAAAAGCATCTTTAGTCATCCTTTTGGCATGGATTCTTCCCCAAATTAAAAAGGAAAAGAAGAAAATGAGAGACTCAGGTTTCACGAGACCAGGACAGGAGTCCCCCATTTTATGTGTGTTCTCTGCAGGTGAGGGCCTTGGAGCACCACTGCTGGTCTCACCCACCGCAGACTGTGTTCAGCAGGAGGCAACCTGTGGTGTGGTGCCAGGAGCTCTGCTATAAGGTGTGTCTATGAGGTAATGACGCGCTTTGAAATCCTGTGTGTGCGTTGTCCTGGACACAGTAGTTGTTTTGGAAAGTTTGGTGTATAACCTTTACTGAGATCCTCTTAG